CGTGGCGGGCTGTGTTGTGGCCCCGGCTGTCTCCGTCCTTCCCCCCGAGCCCCTTCCATGCCAGCTGCTCCGGGCTGGGATGGGAACCCAGGTGTGCTGGCTCCGGCCCCTGCAGCGTGCTGGCTCTCCGTGCGGCCCTGGCCGTGCTGCCCCTTGAGCTTTCGTGGCAAAGACGTGGTCGCTCCCCTAAACCCCCTCCCTCCCTGGCAGGCCTCACGGGTGCGTAATGGGGCGGGAGAGGCTCTGCTGCGCTGCCATCGCGTTCCCTGCGCAGGAGAGGTGCCCTGGTGCTGTCCACGCGTGTCAGGAGGTGACGTGGCTGCATCGAGCCCCAGCTGCCAATATACGGCTTGCAAAGAGCATGAGCAGGGGCAGGTGGGGGTGCCTAGGCTGAAACCAAGGGTTTAACCCCGCTCCCTGGTGCATCTCTAGCCTCCCCAAAGCACCTGGTTGCTGCGCTGGCTAGAAACGGGCAGGGGACTGACCAGCCTGTTTGGAGCCAGGGGACACCAAGGAGCGGGTGCCCGGGGCCAAGCAGCACTGCCCCACTGGAGCCTGGGCCAACTCGGCCGTGGTGTGCCCCGATGTCAGGGGAGCGGGGCTGAGCTTGGACCCGGGCTCTTTACGACCCTCCACTTGAGTGGTGGCTGCGGCCGGCTGTGCCCGTCATGTGCACCTGAGAGCTGGCACGACCACGATTCAGGCCAGCTGTAGTCCCCGGGGTGCCTCCAAGCCCTCCCAGGGGTGCTGATGGGGCAACACGATGCACATGATAAACCCAGACGTGGCAACAGGGTTAAAAGCCGTCCGACCTGCTGGGGTCTGTCCGAGGGGTCTGCCTGGCTCTGGTTCCTTTCTGTGCTCCCAAGCAGAGCCAGCGTGGCCCAAGGGGTGGAGAAGCCGTGGTCTCAGCCCTGTTGCGTGTGGGGGGCCTGGCTGCCAGCGCCGGTGCCGGGGAAAGCAGCCGGGGCCCGGTGCTTGCAAACGCGCCGTGTTTAACCCTAAACAGCCAGGAGTGCGGCACGGCCGGTCGGACTGGTTCCAGGGTCGAGGCCGGAGGCTCGGGCTTGTTTGTTGTTTGTGCCCCTGCCCTTTGGCACAGATTGCCCCGATGCTGCTGCCGGACAAGGGGGAGCGACCGTCTCCACGACCGGGGCCCCTTGGTGCTGGATCAGGCTCCCATCCAGAGCACCAGCCCGGGTGACTCGGCCTCCCTCCCCTGCTCCATGGGAGAGGATCCACGTGGCTCCACGGTCCAAGCTGCTCTCAATCATGCCAGGGCCCTGGGGAGGGTCCCCCTGATGCTGGGGTGCCATCACGACCCCGCTGACCCTGCCGACAGCCTCTCCTCGCGCCACCTGGACGGGGAGCCTGCCCCACTCCCCCAGCCCCGGGATCTGCTTCTCGGTTGTCCCATGACTCCTCCAGCCAGGCTTACAGGCTTCCCCCGGCCCTCTCCGCGCTCCCCTCTGCATCAGCCTTGGGGGTGCTGGCTAGTCTGGATTTGATCCTAACACCCCTGGGCAGCAACTGGATGGTGGGCGCCACGGTGCCCCAGCGTGACGGGGTTGCCTGCATGGGTTTAGACGAGGATTTGCACGGGGTGGTTTGGACAGGCGGGGGCCTGGAGGAGAGGTGACCCCTGTGGCTCCTTCCAGCCCTGCTTTCCTATGACCTGACTCCTAGGGTCAGGACCCCTCTGACCCCTCTCTCCTTGTTTTTCAGGGTGGACAAGTCGTTCATCTACCCCAGGAACCTCCGGTGAGTACAGCGCCGCGGGGAGGGCGGCCGGCTCGGGCAGGCAGGGATGGTACCTGCTGGTCCCAGGGGCTCACGAAGGCGGTGCCCTTGGGGGTGACTAGTGCCAGCGAGGGGAAGGAAACGGCCTCAGAGGCAGAAACAAAACCTCAGGGCAGGGGACGCCGATCTCCATCTCGGCACGCGAGGTGTGCGGCTGGTCGCAAGTGTCTGGAGCGAAGCGGCCACGTCCGGGCAGGCACCGTGCAGCAGCCAGCGCAGCCTCCAAGGTGCAGGAAAGGGCTCTGGGCAAGAGCAGATGCTAAATCTGGTGGTAGGCTGGAGGGAGGGATAATTAAAGTCCTGGAGGTGAAGGGAACAGGGGCTGAATGAAGTGCACGGTGGGTTGTCTGCGAGAGAGAGATGGCGCCAGGCGGGCCTGACAGCTCCTTCCGATAACAGCTGATTTCCCAGACAAAGGCGGTGCAGCGGGTCTCGGCTCCCAGGGCTTCAGCAAAGCACTTGAGGCCGTTCGTTAAGCCGGAGAAGAGGGGGATTAGGGGAAGCGCTGGTGATGCGGTGCGGGGAGGGGAGTCAGGCTGGCGGCGGTGACAGGGCAGCTGTCTGCCTCGCTCTTTCTGCTTGTGACCTTGGCGTACGAGGTGGGCGTGCGGCCGTGCCACCGGCTGAGGAAACGAGGCCAGGGCCCGGGCGACGCGCCGGGGGAGAGCATCCGGAGTGCACGCGGTGACCCTGAGGAGCAGGGGGATGCACACGGGGCAGCGGTGGCATTTCCAAGAGAGACAGGAGCGAGCCCGTGCAAGGCATGGGCCGCGGGACCTGGGATGGAGAGGCGCCTGCACGCTGGACCAGGGCAGGGGAAGGAGGGGAGCCTGGAAGAGCCAGGCTCGGTTCGCCCCGCCAAGCAGAGGGGCAGAGGGACGGGAGCCCATGCCAGCGGCACTGCGGGGCGGGCATCGAGGGGAAGCGATTCCTGGCGCTGCGTCGGGTGGGAGCCTGGAAGGGAAGCCCGGGAGCACGCTCCCTCCCCTGGAGCCCGGATCAGGCCCTGCAGCTGGGGCAGCCTTCCCCGGGAAACAAGGGGGCCCTGGAGCAGACAATAGGCCCACTCAGGCGCCTCCCTGGCCCGCAGCCCAGCCGATGCAGATGCTTGGATGCTCGCCCTCCCTGCCGAGCTGAAAGGGGCATTGTGCTTTGGGGGGAGACGCTCCCCGCTCCGCGGAGGGAGAGCATGGGGGGGGCAGTCCCCAAGGCATCTGGGGCCCTGCCACAGGCACCCCGTGGGCCCCGAGCTGGCCTACGCATGGCGTTTCTGTGCTGCATCCCAGCCCAGCACCCTCCTCTGCCCGGGGACGGAGCCGGCAGCCGCGTGGTGGCATCCACATGCCCTGCAAAAGGGGTGAGGAGCAGCCTGGCAGCTTCAACCCCGCGGCCCCGGGGGAGCTCCTCCAGCAGCGGGGAAGGTGCTGGGCTGCCAGCTATGGGGATGATCCCGCATTGCATTACCAGGAGGAGATGCTCCCTCGGCCCCTGATTGGGGCGTGCAAAAAGGCAGCACAGCCCCGGAGCCCTGGGCTCTTGCTCCCAGCCCTGCCCCGGCCGTGCAACACCCTGTCTGGTCCGCTCAGGCCGCGAGCTCTTGGGGCCAGGCAGCTCTCAGCGCAGCGAGGTCCTGGCCTTCGCCGAGGCCTCTAGATGCTAAAGCAGCGCCGGTGCTGGGGCAAGGACTAAGTCAGACGTGGCTGGCGCTCCCAGGGGGAGCTGGGCCCTGCTGTGCAATTCCTGGGGCGCCTTGTGCTTGGAGAGAGCGGCATGAATGCTTTGCGTTGGGTGCTGGGCATGCTTCCGCCTGGCAGGAAGCCGACTCCAAAGGGCAGGCTAGCACGACATCCGTGCCCACCCTCCCCTGGGTATCACTGCAGCAGCTGAAACACCTTGACTGGGGGTCACGGGCATACCTGAGGCTGCTGCCACAGGCACCCCCGCACCCATCCCTCCTGCCCTAAGGCCGAAGGGTGCCCTTCGCTGCCAGTCTCAGCCTCCCTGCATCCAGCTTGGGAGCGGCAGGCTCTTCTCTGCTCCATTTCTGGGTGGGTCTGCCTGGAAGGGAGATGGGGAGTGCAGGGCATGCTCCTGACGTGCCGGGGACACACACAGCAGCAACAAATGCGTGCATTTAGAGATGCAGGCTCCCTGGTGGGCTCTGAAAATGCCAGTCCTCCGAGGAATAGTCCCCTGTGTGCAACAGCCCTTCCGCCCCCGGCATCTCGTTAAATAACTCACCAGCCACTAATTCCAAGCAGCAGGAGGTGCCCTGCCCCCACCGTGCTCCCGAGGAGCCCCCTCAGCTCCTCCTTCCTGCAGGCAACAGATGGTCTTTGCAGCGTGCCCTGAACGCTGCCCAGACCCAAGGCAGCAGCCTGCCTCTGCGCCCGCTCGGAGGAAGCTGCTGAGGGGATTTCTGAGCCATGGGCTGGGCTTCCCCTTGCTCCGTGGTAGCCATGTCAGCATGGAAAACCCTGCAGAGCGGTCTTGACCTAAGCTGCTCCTAGCTTGGCACGTGCAGGGCCCTGGGCTGTGGCACATGCACTGCGTGTCTCAGTGCATTTGTCTTCCCTGCACCCTGAAAGGGGGTGCAGCTCTCACACCCATTGCACAGAGGCTAAGTGACATGCCCGTGGACATGCGGGGAGTCTGTGGCAGAGCTGGTTTGGGTGAAGATGTGGCCCAGGGGAAGGTCGCTGCTTCAGACAGGTGTCCAGCAGGGCTGACGTTCCCCCTCCAAGCGCCGCGAGGCTCCGGTGCCGGCACTGGGTCCCACGGGCAGCTGCGTTCCCCAAGAGGGTGGTGTTTGGAGCCAAGCCTGGGCCTGCGGGCAGGGAGTGCTCCCAGGGCAGCCTGGGTCACGGGAGTCCTGTGGGCACCGGGCAGTGGCACGCAGTCCCTCGGCAGTGAGGGTCACGCTCTCCCACGGAGACGCGGGAGGACAGCATGCACGGCCTCTCGGGCTGTGTGAGCAACGGGGTAATGTGTGCGTTCCCCGCGCGTTGTGGGTAATGTGCATTGTTTGGGCATTGTGGATAAGGATCCTACGCTGAGCACTGACTGCATGTGTCCTTCTCCGGTCACAGTGGCTAAGTCTTCACAGGTGGCATTTGTGTGCTCATCTCCAAGTTGGCCAAGTTCGCTGATGACACCAAACTCTGGGGCAAAGCATCCACACCAGAAGACAGGCGGGTGATCCAGGCTGACCTGGACAGGCTCAAGAAATGGGCAGATGAGAATCTGATGGTGTTCAACACCGAAAAATGCAAGGTTCTCCACCTTGGGAAGAAAAACCCGCAGCATCCTTATAGGCTCGGCAGTGCTACTCTGGCTAGCACTATGGAAGAAAGGGACTTGGTGGTCATGACTTACCACAAGATGAACACGAGCCTGCAATGCGATGCTGTGACCAATAAAGCCACCAAAACGCTGGCTTGCATTCATAGATGCTTCTCAAGCAAATCCTGGGACGTCATTCTCCCCCTGTACTCGGCCTTAGTGAGGCCGCAGCTGGAGTACTGCGTCCAGTTTTGGGCTCCACAATTCAAAAAGGATGTGGAGAAGCTTGAGAGAGTGCAGAGAAGAGCCACGCGCATGATCAGAGGTCAGGGAAGCAGACCCTACGATGACAGGCTGAGAGCCCTGGGGCTCTTTAGCCTGGAAAAGCGCAGGCTCAGGGGTGATCTGATGGCCACCTACAAGTTTATCAGGGGTGACCACCAGGATCTAGGGGGACGATTGTTCACCAGAGCGCCCCAAGGGATGACGACTAGGTCGAACGGTCAGAAACTCCTGCAAGACCGTTTCAGGCTGGACATAAGGAAGAATTTTTTTACTGTCCGAGCCCCCAGGGTCTGGAACAGCCTGCCACCGGAGGTGGTTCATGTACCTACATTGAACACCTTCAACAGTAAATTGGATGCTTATCTTGCTGGGATCCTATGACCCCAGCTGACTTCCTGCCCCTGGGGCGGGGGGGGGGGCTGGACTCGATGATCTTCCGAGGTCCCTTCCAGCCCGAATGTCTATGAAATCTCCTGGCTAAAGTCCAACCCAGGCCCTTTCCTCTCCCCCTCCTGCTTCCTTGCGCATGCGCTGCGGGTGCAGGGACTCTCCTCCTCTTCTCTCTGGCTGTTCCACACCAGAGGCAGCTGCATTTGGCAGCGGCAGTGGAGGCCGTGGCTACTGGGGCTGCTTGGACCATGAGGTTTCTTATTTGGTGCCTGACCAGACCGATTGCAGGAGGAGGAAATATCTCATTTGAGGTAGAAGGGCAGAAACAGGACAAAGTGGAGAGCAGGCACTGGCCAGCCAAGACAGGCCCCTGGCTGGAAGGAGCTTGAATGCCAAGGCTGCCCCTCCTTCCTCCGACCATCGATCTTTCCTGAAGGCTGGACACAGCCTCGGCTTCCCCGGCGTGCGGCTGCTTCGCGCATCGATCCCCGGCAGCCTCAGCAGCCGGAAGGGGCCTCGGAGCAAATCGATCCCGCTCCAGCCTGTCTGGGGCCTGCCCAGGTGCTGCTTCCTTCGCCTCTGGCATCGATCCACCCCCACGCCAGCCCCTCGTGCCCTGGGGCCAGGGAATGAGCCGGCCCCCTGCTCCGTCATGCGTCCGCGATGCCCTCGGTCCTCTCCCTGCCGCTGGGGGGAGAACGTGGCTTCCTGGGGTCACAGCAGAGGGTCTCTTTGCAGATACACCTGTGACTGCTGTGAGATCCCACCTCTGCCTGTCTGCAAACCACGTGTGCCACCCCTGTGCAATCTCGACCTCAAGGCCTGATGGTTGGGAGCTCTTCAGACTCCAGATCTGCCATTTAGGGGATGTGCGGAGGCAGAAAGAGGCAGAGACCCAGGCTCCATTTGCTGCTTTGCACTGCTTTGAGCAGCCCGCTGAAGAGCCTTTCTGCTGTCTTTGTTTTTGCTTTAAGGGGTTTTTTTTCAATGCTGGGAATTCAAGG